AAAAGCTTGGCCTGAGCTCGAGCTCGACATGAACATGATAATATATTATATAACAAAAAGTATATTTTACAATAAAATATATACAATATGTTTTTTTCTTTGTTCCTCTTCTCCTTTTTCAAGTCAGTCGGATCTTTCATTATTTTTGGGTTTTGAGGTCTTTTAATATAAATAAAATAGTTTTTTATTGAATAAAAAAGAAAAAAAATATTTTTCCCAAATTTCTAGCTGGGCTGTGGGCTCAAGACCTAGGCCTGATGGTTGGACTTGGCTCAGGCTCGGGCCTGAATGTGTTCTGTTAATACAGAGACAAAGCCCGGCCCGGACCCAGCCCATGAACAGGTCTGCCTTGGACCTAGGCAAGGTGCATACCCTAAAATGCACCTCACCTCTGTGCCTAGGCGTGCCTTTTAAATCACTGATTACCATGCTACTGCCAAGTTAGTAGACCCACTCAATTTAGAGAAAAAAATTTACTAAAAATGCTCTCCCTCTTTAGATGCAACTTTTCACATTTGGTCTTCAGAGTTGGGATGAACTTTAACCTGAGCGATATCATTCAGCAACCATCATCTCCTGAAGCTCCCACTCATAAGTATTTCTGTGCAAAACAGGGGCCCAGACTGCTTCTCCATCAATAGTTTCATACCAATCTTTTACTACAACATCCCTGTTCAGAGCTTTATTAAAGATGTGAGGATGGGACTGGCTGAGGGGTCTTCCTCCACCCTTCGTGTCATACAGAAAGAGATGCTTTCCACTTCCCGGCTTGGGAGCAATTAACTGAGAAAAATAATCTTTTAAGCTTCATAATGCCTCTCTAGATGCTTGCCCCAATAATAAGCCTGATGTATCAAAGGTGACCAATTGTTTACCTCACTCCCATACTTGCTTTTAATAACATCTTTCCAAAGCTTATCCTTCTCATTGGCATACCTCCATAGTCATTTCCCGAAAGTGCTCTATTCATAAGGTGAAGAGATTTAATGCCTACCATAGTTTTCAAGGTGCCAAAGCGAGGCTAGGCGACAGGGGGGGTGCCTAGTCGCCTAGGCGATGGATTTTTTTTTTTTTATGTAGAAAAAATAGATCCTAGGGTAGTTCCCTAGGTACCATAACCAGGTTTCCTTAATAATTATTCATAATTTTCATAAGAAAAGTATAGAGTTAATGTTAAAGTATAGAAAATCAACATATTAATGAGAAGAAAAAGAACATTAAAAAATAATAAGGGCTGAACCCTTATTTTTGTTATAGGAAAAGAAGAAAAAAAGTAGTAGTAGAAAATGTATTGATTAGACAAAATTTTTAAGTTCTTCCTTACATTTTGGTTCAGGTTTTAAAGTCTTTGAGGGTTCAATACAGAATTTAGCAATGTTTGTATTGATTAAGCCCTAACAAATAAGAAAATAATAAAAAAAATAGTATATAAACACACAAAATGAATATATTAGTTTAGTAGTGCCTATTTTATAATTATAATGTCAAAAGATAAAGAATAGAAGTATTTTATAGTACATAGTACAAAACTGCTTGGCGATTAGGCGAGGTGAGCCTCAAAGGGTGCCTTGTCGCCTAGGCGTTGCATTGACAACTATGATGCCTACCCCACCTTCTATCTTAGGCAGACAAACTTGAGGTCATGCTACAAGATGAAATTTCTTCTATCATTGACCCCATCCTGTAAGAAGCCCCATCTGGTTTTCTCCAAAGAATTTAGAACCGAGGCTGGTGCTTTAAATAAAGACAAGAAATATATGGGAAGATTAATCATTAGTGACTTGTGAGAGCACTCTGAATTAGTGTCCCCCTTCCCCCCTTTTAGACAAGTAGTTCTTCTTCCAACCTGCCAAATTGCAATGAAACCTTTCTAATATTTGGGTCCAATAACTTGTTGGACTTACTTTCGATGGGAGTGGACTACACTTGCTTCCTAGAATGGCAGCTATTTCTGCAATTTTTGGAACGTCATCAATAGGGAAATGTTTATTTTCAGACCACAGGTAACTTCAAAATCTGTTAGAAAACATCTTAAAAACAGAAAGTTCTTATCCTTTTTTTTGAAGATAAATAAAAATAAACTTTATTAGAGAAAAGAAAGGATAAGGAGATTATAGCAGGGTGATAAGGAATCACCCAGCAATAGCAGACCCAAAAAGCAACAGACCCACCCTAACAAAGACCCTAAAAACAGAGAAAAAACCTAAACATATCAAAGCACCTTAAGAAACAAACCTATATCCAAATACAAATATCACAACAAAATCACAAAGGTCCCTACCACCAACCCCTAAAACAACTAAAACACAATAGACTGAATATCCCAGAAACCCAAATCCTGCCAGAAGATACATATGAAAAACATCCTGAAACCAAACAATCCAACTGATGGAAAGCTGAACTTAAACTTTATCCATTTTCTCATCATGCCCACTGTCTAATATAGAAATCTCTTGTCTCATCTGGGTAACTTTCGTTATCTTTCTCCCTTTCTTTTTTAATCCCGCTCCATATACTCCTAGCTCCAATCCTTTGCTCTTGTAAAGATAATTGAGTTATCAGAAAATTGAGGAAGTGAGGTATTGTTGCTGCTTACCTTAAAGCCCTCAAGATGTCCTCCCTCAGCCTTTTTACCATCATGCTAAGAGCCTCTACTACTATTGTGAAGAGAATGGGTTATAGAGGATCGTCTTGTCTGAGACCCCTCTTTCCTTCATAATAGGTTTTAGGAGAGCCATTTATCACTAAGAAACTAGCGGAAGAGTGACAAGATTTTATCCATTGCCTTAATTTTACTTTGAAAACCATTCTCCATAAAAGATAATCCAAGAAAGCCCATTGAAAATGGTCATATACCTTTCAAATAACATAATAACGTCTCTTAAAAAACCCTTCCCCCAAAGCACCCTGAGTCAGATCAATGAGCCTCCTTTTGTTTAAGGGTGCAAAAAAATGTCAATCATCTTCCTAACTGAGGACATTCTATAGTGGGTTTGCCTTGTAATCATGATGTCTAATTAGATGACCATTGATCAAATGATCAACACCTTCATTTTTGGAATCCATCCTTCCTATAGGCTGAAAATTTCTTGGTCCAAAACAGGCATGTTGGTGGCAGGATGTGGTAAGTCTTCCTCTCCCTCCTGGCCAACCTTGCCTTCATGCATGAATATGATTTAAGATAAAGTGGTTCCATACAAGGTTCAAAATCTGACAACAAAAAGATAAGTGGAGTTTTGATCAAAGCAAAACTCTCGATACATAAATTTTGCATATTGAGAGTAGTGATACTTTGAACCATGGTTCCATATTAGAGCATTGGAAAATTTTTCATCGTTTACCTATGATGATGTTTGGAGGAATTGGGGTGAGGTGGCAAAAAGTTCTTCAAAGAAACCTGTGCATAAAGTTTGGTCACCTCCTTTAGAAGGTTTTATAAAACTAGATTTTGATGGGAGTAGCCAGGGCAATCCGGGTCCCTTTGGAGTAGGGGGAGCTTTTAGAGACAAAGATGATTTCATTGTTGCACTGTTTTTGGAACAGCTAGGGATGCAACACTCTATAAGGGTGGAGTTTCTTGCGATTATCCAAGGGATGCAGGTAGCACCATGAATATGGAAAAGTTGCTTATTGAAGGTGACTTCAATGTGGTGGTGGGTTGGTTAAGTATCTGGAAACTGTGGTATGGGCCTTTAGGGATGAAGTAAAGAAGTTCAAATGGTTATATAGTAACATGACCACAGGGATACAAAGGGTGCAAAGATCGGTAAATGGGTTGTCTGACCTTAGATAWGCAAGGGGTTAATAGGGGGCAACTATATAGGGCTCAGTTGTAACTCTGTTTGCTATGAGGTTGCAACATGCACCTCTCTAAGGGATGCTTGTATTGTATGTATATATTGCTGTTCCATATTTAATGAAATTTCAAAGTTTTAGTGGAGTGGAAACCTTCAGTAAGTCACAGTATGAAGCTGAATTTTGATGAAAGCTTGATTGGAAATCCAGGACCATCAGGGATACACGAGGCAAGGTGGTGGCTCTATTTTCAGGACTAGTTGGATTTGCTGATTCTCTAAATGCTGAAGTATTGGCACTACTGCAAGGCCTGAAGTTGACTAAGCAAATTGGACTGCAACATGCAGAGGTAGAGGGAGACTTGAAGCTGGTTATCTCTCAGATGTGTAGAAACATCTCAGGAGCTTGGATATACAACCAAACTTTGAGGGAGATTGAGAAACTAGTGAGGGACATCGGTGCCACCTTCAGATGGTTAAGAGAACTGCTAATGGGATAACAGATTCCTTAGCCAAACAAGGGATCCATAGGAAACAACATTTCTGGGCAGCACTGTAAAAGGAAATTAAAGCATTTGGGTGGTTGGGTATCCTGCCCCAGCTCTGACTGTAATTGTAATCCTTAATTCATTTATTAATAAATCTTTTCTTTGCTGACAAAAAAAAAAAAATTCAAAGTTACTTATCAAAAAAAATGATGTGAAGGAATGAGGGGAATAATTGGTTGGCACTCTCAGCACTAATTAAGCACAAGATGCAAACATGGGGAGAGGCATGCATTCCTCTACCCTTTGTGGAACATCTCCCTGTATTTGTTACTTTTAAAGCAACTTTTCAACATAAAAATGCCAAGGGTTTTCTTGAAAGCATCTTACATATGTTGATGAATGAACCACTTTTTAAAGTTATGAAGGAAGTTGTTCTTGCCTTAATTCTTAACTGATATGTATTTTTAACTTGATTTTCTCAAAGTATGCTTCACTTTGATACTTGTAATGTTTGAATTATGTGACTAATTTCTTTAAGGTCCTCTTTCCATATCAAATCTCCTTTATGTCTCATGCCATAAGTATGTTACTTTTGATGAATCTCATGCCATAAGCCTATTACTTTGATTCCTATTTTATTTGGCTAGTAAATTCTGCAATGACTTCTAACTGATTAGATTTTTTCTCTGTTTTCGTTTTTTACATACATGGTGTGCAGAGATGAAGCAAGATCCTATTGTTGAAGATCCAAAGCGCATTTGTAATGTAAGATTTTTAACTCTTTTATGTTCTTTGTATTGTATATTCATATATTTTGTGTTTTTAAATCAGTAACATTTAAGAATTTATAAATCAAAGTAAAATAATGATGTTTAATAAATCATCATCATCCATGCCTTGTCCTAACTGTACAGGGTTGACTACATGAATCCTGTTTTGCTAATCCATTCTATTTAAAACCATATCCGTTGTTAAATTATTAGTGCTTAAATCATTTCTTACTACTTCTATCCATGTCCATTTTTGGTTTACCCTGGGCTCTTCTAGGCCCCTTCAATGTGTAACAAATCACTTCTTCCAATTGGTGGTCTTCTTTTTACGTGCCTAAACCATCTTAGTCTACTCTCTCTCATCTTTGTTTGATTTTCTCATCTTTTACCAAGACTCCTTTATTTTCATCTTTAATGCACCTAACATGGTTTAACTTTCTGCCTTTCCTTTTTCTCAGCTTGCTAGTTTATACTTTACTTTTTCTCCCTCTTTAGTGCCTAATTTATGGTAACGCTCATCATAAGCCTTATATTTAATTTCATTCACTTTTTTTTTCTCTTTTTAACTTCCTTTCTTATGGTTTTGTATTTTCCTAGTTTTCTACATTTCTAGCTTTTTACCATTCTTTGTAGCATGCTTGTTTTAATCTAATTATATTTTTAACCTCTATATTCCACCACCAAGTTTCTTTAGTACTTTTTTTGATCAATAACTCAACCTTTTATTAATTAATATAATGGAAGGTACAATACATTAAATACAGTCAGACTGTGAGAGATAAAACATCTTATCTCTCCCTCTATAATCAGATCCCTTACAGTTGTGCCCAGAAAAGTGAATCTTCCTCCACCCCTTGTTTAGCTAAGGCATCTGCTACAGAATTAGCAGATCTTTTAACCCATCCAACCACTATTTCCATATTTCTGGTTAGCCACCTTATCTTCCTTTCATTGTTGAAAAGCCACAGTTCTGAGCCCTCTTTTCATAACCAGCTAATCACCAGTTTGGAGTCTCCTTCCACAAATAGCTTTTGGATGTTCATTTGTTTTGCCTTTTGAATGCCTTCCAGTACTGCCAACACTTCTGCTCTCAGGGAGTCTCCTTTTCCAACTGGCCCTGAGAACATAGCAATGAAATTACCCTCCTCATCTCTAAAAATACCTCCAATACCTGAAGGTCCAGGATTCCCCAATCTGCTACCATCAAAGTTAAGCTTGATGAAACCTCTGTTTGGAGGTGACCAAGTATGATTTATAATTGTCTTATTGCTTGTAGAATTTGCTACTTCCTTTTTTTTTGATGAATAATTTGCTACTTCCTTCCAACTTCTCATTAGATCATTTGTTGACAGTTGACACATGAGAGAAGGCTGCCAATGATTTCAGCCAATGCACCACTTTAACCTTGATTGTTTCCAAGATATCACTATTATTTCTTTCTTTATCTGTAAAGATTCTTAACTTTCTTTCTTTCCAAACAGTTCAAAGAACAATAGCTCTAATGCAGTTCCACATTAACCTCCCTCTCTTTGTTGGCCATCCAAAGGTAGTTGTGTCAAATAGGCTTTGAACATCCGCCGGAGGATTCCACCCGCACCCAAAAAGAGAAAAGCACCAATCCCAAATAGAGGTGATGAAGGAACAAGAGATAAAAAGGTGGAGGCAACTCTCACCATCAGCCTTACACAATACACACCAATGAGGGGATAAACACCAATTTGGCCGCTTTATTTGGAGTAGGTCAAGAGTCTTAATCTTTCCATGAGCCGCTTCCCAACAAAATGCAGCAACCCTTGGTGGAATAGCTTTGCACCACATCTCTTTCGTCGGAAAAGGAGGCAGGCCACTATAGGATGATTCTAGCAAAGTTTTAAAGGAGGCACATGAGAAGGACCCCGATGGGGTACAAGTCCAAACTCGGCTATCAAGTCTTGAAGGTTCAATGAAAACTCCTTCCAGCAAATGTAAGAGGCTAAGACCTAAGAAGACACTAAAGTTCTGAGTCTTGGATACCCTTTCGGAAACCCAAGTCCCAATTAACCCCATTGAGCGAAGGTGGAGATTGGACAAGAAACTTAGAAACTAGCTCATTTTTGAAGCTTGAGAGGGCAAAGAGAGAGGGAAGTTGGTCCTTTAAAGGAGAGTCTCCCAGTCAAATATGTTCCCAAAATTTAAAATTATTACCATTACAAAGGTTGTATCTAATAGAAGAAAGGAAGAGAGGTAGGATTGCACTAATGGCTTTCCAAGGTGAGGATCGATTTGCCCTAGACAGCACACCAACATCCCATCCATTACCCCAGAGCCCATGAATACTTACTATCACCTTTGTCCACAATTTGTCCCTATCTTGAGGCAGTCTCCAGGGCCACTTTCCTAACAACAACATATTCCTTTTTTGTATATTTCCTAATCCCTAGCCCCCTACATTATTATCCCTGCATACTATTTCCCAACTTATTCTATGATCTCTTTTTTCCTCCCCTGGCTCCCACAAGAAATCCCTCATTGTCACCTCCAATTTCTTGCTCACACTCACTGGAATTTTGAAGACTGACAAATAGTAGACAAGTGAGTTAGCTAGTGTTGATTTAGTCAACATTATTCTGCCACCTAGAGACAAGTATCCTTTCTTCCAACTAGCCAACTTCCTAGAGAAATTTTCTATCACGGGATTCCAGAAACCAACTTCTTTTGGATTTGCTCCAAGAGGTAAACCCAAATAGGTCAGGGGCCAGGACACGACACTGCAGCCTAGAATGCTTGCACACTCTGCCGTCTCCCCATCCTGCATGTTTGTTCCAGCTATGCTGCTTTTTTTTCAAAATTTATCCTTAAGTTTGACAATCTTTCAAACAGCTGTACCAACAGTTTCAAATTCCTTATCCAATCCAAGTTCTCTCCTTTGCAAGAGAGAAGAGTGTCATCTACAAATTGCAGATGGGTAATCGATACCTCTTCTCTTCCCACTCTCTTGCCTCTCACTAGCCCTCTCAAGTCTGACCTCAACAAAATTCTACTAAGAACATCCACTATCAGTGTGAAGAGAAAAGGGGAGAGAGGATCTCCTTAGTCCTCGTTCAGCTGGAAAGCGGTCTACAACTGTGCCATTTACTAACACTGAATGTTGGCAAGTCCTCAAACACCCCCAAATCCAATTGCAACATCTCTCTCCAAACCCACAATGTCTCATGATCTCAATCAGGAAAGGCCAATCAACTAGATCATAGGCTTTCTCTAAGTCCAGCTTGCAAAGTATGCCTTTCTTCTTGGATCTCCTCATATCCTCAACACATTCATTAGTGATTAGAATTTGATCTGTGATTTGCCTCTTTTGAACAAAAGCCTCTTGGTTGGAAGTCACCAAAGAGGGGAGAACTTCCCGAATCCTTAAAGATTAGATTTTTGTTAGAATTTTATACAAACTATTCACCAGGTTGATGGGTTTGAAATCTTTGGGATGGTTAGCTCCCACTTTTTTAGGGATCAAGGCAATGAAAGTTGAATTCAACCTTGGATTTATTATGCCCCTTTCAAAGAACTCACTAAAAACCTCAAGTAAATCTTCTTTTGGCACATCCCAACAATCCTGATAGAAAGCCATAGTAAACCCATCTAGCCCTAGAGCTTTAGCTCTATCCATGGAAAACACTGCTCTCCTAATCTCCTCCTCCTCAAAGGGTCTTTAACTGATACGATTGACCAAACCCTCAATCCACAAAGTTGCATCTAAAGGCCTCCTATAAGTTGATTTGAAATGATCCACAAAAGTCCGTGCTATCTCACATTGATCAGTAATAACTTCATCTCCTATCTCCAGTTTGGAGATGGAGTTTTTCCTTCTCCTGGCATTGGCCATTGTATGAAAGAACTTTGTGTTTCTGGCACCCTCTTGAAGCCATTTTACCCTTGATTTTTGCCTCAAGTTAATATCCTCTTTCAGTAAAATGTCTTCCAGTTGTCTCTTCAAAGCCTTTCTTAGTTGTCTATCCCTTTCCTCTAGTGTTCCTTGAGATTCTTTGGAATCCACCCCTTCAATTTGATCCACTACTTCCTGCTTTCTTGCTTCAAGTCTTCTAAACTACTCTATGTTCCAAGTCTTTATCTTAGACTTTAGGGCCTTAAGCTTCCTATGGAAAAATATTCCTTTTCAATTCCCCCTTGGCCTTTCTCCTTCCCACCATTCCTTCACTTTTTGGTGGAAACTTGGATGGGTTAACCACATGTTTTCAAATCTGAACAGGGCAGGACCTAAACCTCTTAGCTCCTCTTGAAATAGGGAAATTGGCCAATGATCCGAGGTTACCCTAGGTAAGGTTCTAGAGGATAGCCCACTCCAATGTTCCTCCCAGTCCACTGAAAAGAGAAACCGATCAAGTCTTGAGCACAACGGGGTAGTTTGGAGATTAGAGCTAGTGAAATTGTGGTGGAGAAGAGGCAGATGTTTGAGCTCAAAGGAGTTAATGAAATTGTTAAATCTCCTCATGCTTGTAGTGATTCTTTGCCTTGGATTATTTGTCTCCTTAGTGAATTGAATTATATTGAAGTCTCCACCAATACACCATGGCCCCTCCCATAATCCTCTAATGTCCCTGAGTTCTTCCCACAAATCATTCCTTTCTCTGTATCCATCAGGTTCATAAATGTTGGTTATCACCCATTCATACCCATCCTCTACCTATCGAAACTTCATAGAAACAGTGTATTTACCAAGTTGCTCTTCCACTCCTTCCACCACCTCTAATTTCTAGAGAGTGACTATTCCTCCTGAAGCCCCCACGAAGGAATCCAAGCCCAACCTATCCCTCTCACCTTCCACAAACTTTTGATTCATTTATTGTCAAATTCAGCTGACTTTGATTCTTGCAACAGAACTGTCAAGATTTTCTTTCTTAATCAATTCTTTTATCACCGCTCTCTTTCTTGCACTCCCCAAACCTCTCACATTCCAGCATAATATTTTCATTGACAATCAATAAGTTACTCCTTTTCTTT